GCAGAGTTTTGAATATTGACTGTTACAGAATAGTACTGTGCAGGGATGGGAAATGTGAATAAAAGTGTGAAGGAGTTGCATCCAAGGTTTTTTGAGAAGGTAGTGGTATTGCTAATTTATGGTGGCTTCAAGTCATATATCTTAAGTATTGTGAATAGGAGTTGGATTGTTGGGATGTGAAGTTTTACTATACTCGCTTTGCATCTCTGAATTTCGTCTTATTGATTACTTTTTTGTTAGAAATTTGAAACTATTTATTTGTAAAAACAAGTGCATAATCTAAAGCTTGAAAAATTTCCATTAGAATTTTCTGATCTCATCTCTCGCTTATGCCACAGTATCAGATTTGTTGTGACATAGGCAACTTGATATTAGTTTTTGAGGGTATCATTATGATCATTAATTTTGAATGAAAATACAATTATGAATAATCTAGTAAAAACTGATAAATTTTTGTGGACTTGTCTAAAGCCTCTTTTTTTCCTTACAATTTGTATTTTGCTCTTTTTGAAGGTCTGAACGAGGGAGTTATTATTATTTTATTTGTTGGTCTATTTTTTGGTGGGAAGGAAAGAAGTAGTTTTGGATACAAGTACTCCTCTTCGTGCTTCTCGGTATATATTACTTCTTACATATTAACAAGTCTTTAGAGACAGTTTGTTAATTTTAACTTGAATTTCTGTAGAAATTTGTTCCAGGAATTAGCAGTGTGATAGGACTCTTTTGCTCCCTCATAGCATTTCACCCCGTATGTGAATTTCTTTTAGAGGTTTATGAACCTTACCTAAACTTGAGAAATACTTTCTTTAATAACAGGGGGCAGACAGAAAGTGTGATTTAATACATTTCTACAAGACTGTTTCATGCTAATAATGCTACTGCTAGCAAAACTTTATGCGGCTTTATTCGTTTTTTATTAAAATCAGGATGCTTTGAGCAGCTTAGTAAATTTCATGTCGTATCTAAACAATTTTGCTTTGGTGCAAGAGCCGGACATAAAGCCGGATCTATTCACAGTTTTTCTTTGCGGTTCTTCCTCGTATTCTTTTAGCGATAGAAAATTATAAAAAGTTATTTTCTTTTGATCAAGATAGCGTATTCGAGTTTCGAGATCTAGAGTATTTTGGGTTTGGTAGTCAAATAGCTCCTATTGGTTTTTAAGTCCATCCGTTGCAACATGCGTGTAGGATCTTGTTCCTCTTCTAGTATTTTGGTCTTGTATATGTAGCTTTCCACACTTCCGCCTTTTCTTAAGGCGAACATATAATCCTCATAGGGGGATTTCTAATTAGGTGTGGCGTTTTTGGGCAAGAAATATCTTTTCCTATAAAAAGAGTTCCAGCGGCTTCGGCACATACGGAGATATCTAGAGGATATTCGAGTTACTATCATAAAGGTGTACTAAAATTTTAAGTCTCATGTGTTCAAGGCTTGTTACCTATTACACCTTGTTTGTCAATGTTCAGTCTGTTTATGCGTGCAGTTTCTCGCTTTTATTTCCTTTTTAGCCGGAATGTGAGAGTAACTTTAATTATAAATATGCTTTTTGAATGTAACTGTAATAGCTTTTTTAAGTGTCCATATATCAGTAGTTTTTGTTTTGATTACTGTAATCTACGTTTAATGTAGCTCGTGGCGATGTGAAGGAATTGATCGTGAACAAGAGTTTAGTCGAGATAGAGGCTCATGAATATAGGAGAAATAAATAGTAAGGTTTATAGAAATAGACACTACATATTTCCACTTCTTTTACTCGTCATCTCTTCCTATTTTAGTTCAATACCCGTCACTTTTGAAGTAATATTTTTCAAAGTTTTTTTGCTTGGTAAAAAACTATTTTTTTCTTGTATCGTTTTGTAAACCTGTCTCTCGGCTAGTTTGTTGTTCGTAATCGATTTTTTTTCACGTCTTCTCAAACTGCTTTAAACGCAGATCACAGTATTAAAAAAGAACTACGAAATTTGAGCACTTTACAAAGTTATTACAGTTATACTGTCAGAAAGTATATTTAAAAACTAAACTCACTCTCACATTTCGGCTGAAAAGGAACAAAATTGTAAACATAAAGAGATAAAACATCAAAAAGCAATGTTTAATAGGCAAAAAGTTATGAACACAAGCGACTTAAAACTGTGGTAGAGGTGGCTCGGGTAATCTCCAGGTACCTCCGTATGACAGACTGGTATCGTGCCACAGCTGCTGGAATTTTTTTTGTAAGAAAGGATATTTCGTATCCGAAAAATTTTACACCAAATTAGGAACTTTCTGTCTTGTTCAGTCGAAGTAATTCGTTGATTCATCCGCCGTTGATGCTTCTTGTTTGTTCAAAAAATTGAGATTCCTGTTCAACTTCACCCATTTCCTTTACATTGTATAAATATGCGAGGCAGATATCATATGGGTACATTATTGTATGCGGGCCAATATTGACAAGGCTGATATCTGTTAACAAGGACACTCTTTAAGGCTTAATGATGTGCTACAAAGTTATATAGGAACCGTTCTAGGTATCGTTTTTTAGTTTCAGTATAACAGTGGCTCCTAGCCATTAAAAAACTGTATAAGGATCATTAAGCGTAAGGTACTGTAGCGGTTCTGTAAATATTAATTTCAGCACAGTAGAAGGGATTTATAGCGCTGTTTATCTCTTTTCTCTTTCGTAGGCTCAATTAATTTGATCAAATTGTCATAGCTTGTTTTTATTTTTATAATTCTGTATACTCAGCTTTCTTCTGAAAATTTCTTATGTGATAAGTGCGATATCTCCAATTTTAACTCCTCGGTGGGTTAAGTCTTTTGGTGGCTGATGTGTCGAAATCTGTTTTTCTCTAACTTTAAAACGCTACTCATTGTAGCACCATTTCCGTAACAGATTTAATAGTTCGAACAATTCTTTAAAAATGCTCAAACAGGATATCTTTTTCTTACGGCGCAACATAAGTTCTGTCCTCTTCCTCTTCTTCAAGAGGAATTGAGCGTACTTTTTATTGGGTTTTAGAAATTTCTCTGGAATTATATTTTTTGTAATGGAATTTTAATGACCCAGACTTTGCCACTGCTTTTTTTCCCAAAATAAGGGTAGTAGTCTGTTCTTGAAATGAAATATGCTTTCCTATAGTTTTCTTAGGGCAAATTTTTTTAAGTTTTTCAAGTTCCACAAGAAGGGCTCCTTCCTTTGTAACACACTCTCTGATGAAATTTCAATGCTCATTTTGTTTTTGAAAATAGTTTATAAAAGGTCGATGAAAATGGGTATTAGGCCACACCTCATCTGCTGTGTTTTTTGTTAATTTGAATGTCTATGGGAATCTTACTTGGATTTCTTCTGTGTGCTCTAAACTGTTTTAATTCATTTAAAGTTATTTGAGTTGTGAGGCGAATAAAAAGTGTTTATATCCGCTTCTTTAGTATATCGTTGTTTACCGTAAACGATTTTCCGTCAAAGATTTTAAATAATTGAGTTTTGATGTTACGGAAATTTGGGCAAGGTGACGTGGAAAGTAGCTTGTAAGGTCTCTTTTAAAGCTACTGGATATCACATGGTCCCGAGTAACTTCTTTGTGAATTCCTTGCTTTTGACCCTCAATGTCTTCTTCTAGAACTACCCAAGTATTTTGTATTTTGACAAGGAATGACTGTTTATGAATTTATTGTGCGTCAGTTGTTGTCAGAAGTTTTGATGATGCGATAAAATAGAATTTTTTTGTTCTCAATGAAGTTCCTTTTTGAACGCCTTATAGAACATATAACGCTCTCCTGACAAGTTTGAAGTGGTCTTTCGCCTTTTTTTTAAAACAGTTATAGCTAAATGAAACAACGGATTTAAATGTCTGCCTTGGTTGTTTTTTTCCGCAGATATTTCATTGGTTTGAAGCTTTTTGCTCATAAGGGAAGTTTTAGATTGACTGTGACGAAGGAAAGCATTAGTTGTATCGTGCTTGGAAAAGCAGGATTTGGAAGTACTTTAAACTCAATTTAGGGCTCATCTTAATATTTAACGTAGCGAAAGGTCTATTAAAATAATTTTGGAATGGCAGTTTCTTGCTAGCGATTTTGCCTAGTTCAATTTGATCAGTATTTCTGGTGGCAGTGCTTGCTATTCAAGAGGTGTAATGGTTTATGTCCTCTTTACAAGTATTCTAATTGTTGCCTATTTTGTCAGTCATTTCTGCGGTGTTTTTCAGCTAAGTTAATTTGGAACCAGCAGATAATGTCCCTAAGTTTTTCCTACAGCAGTATCTTAAAATATATTTTGGTAGTCAAATTCTTTTGAAGTCTGAGTAGCATTATTGGGATTATCTTTCGTAATTGCAGTACCATTTGTTGCTGCACATTGTTTCGTTTAAACAGGTTTGAAAGGCAGCTGAATTTCTGTATTGCAGAGAAACTTGAAGAAATTATTTTGAGAAGAAGGCACTTTGAAATCATCTGGGATTTCCACCAACTTTCAAAAGATTTAATTGGAAAAACTGTTTTCCCAATTAAATCTTCTGAAAGAAAACTGGGGAAACATCCTCATTAAGAAAAATATCTATTTAAACTTTTTACTTTGTCGACTTCATTCTAGAACTTGATAGAGCTTTCCTCTTCAGTTTATTCTTTGTATAATTGTTCTTTGGGTCTCTTTTGTGTTGCAGCAGAGTAATTTACTAGCGTGCATCGGTTCCAGTTACAAAGGGTTTTTAAGGAGGATTTCAGTAGGAATAGTCTACTTTTGTAATTTTTTGGCATAATAACTGGACGAAAAAAAGAATACGGTGGTTCCGCGGATTGTTATGAAATTTGCGCTTTTAATATATCACTTGAATAGCTGAAAAGTTTAAGGATGAATGTTTAGTAAGCTTATGAGAATTAAAAGCGTTGCCATCTGGACGCTTGGTGTGAAAAATTCCTTTTCTGGGCATCGTGGCTGTGAATATGCTTACTTACTTAGGCTAGCTGGAAGTGATTAATTTGTTAAGTGAAAATTCGCTGGATTTATACCGGAAAGTTTCCTGAGAATGAGGAGCAGGCAGGTTCAATGCCTGATTTGTGAAGTTCTATGGTTCTTTCGCTTCTCGTGTTCTTCTGCTGCTTTTTTGAAATTACATAATCTTGTTTTTTGTATGTCAAATTGATTGGAACTACTGTTTATGCGTTTAGTGATATAAAAACATTCAGAATTGGGAAAATTACGCATCAGTTGAGGGCGTCGATATCGAAAAGGCTTTTGCATTTTCTGGTGGGCTTACTGAAGAGATGAAGGACGAAGGCAGTAGAATTTCTATGTTGAGGTTTCAAAAGAAGACCAGTTTTTTACCTAGGATATGTAAGTTCATAAATGCTGGTTTTTTTATCAATTTTTAGGAGCGGTATTCTCTTCTCGTTATCTGATTTGTTCTCGATTGTTTGTATTCAAACGTTTCTCTCATAATAATTTTTTGTTGAAAACACTTAGGTTTGCAAAAAATGAGTCTTATTGTCTTGATTGTCTTTACTTACTTTAAATAGAAACATTGTTCTTTATTCAATTCAAGTGCTGTAATTTAACTTTAGGCGCGGGCCTTTCACAGCGCACAGCACAACAGGTGATTGGAAGAATGCGTCGTCTTTATCACCCATCGTCTTTCGAGAGGGTCCCGTAAGATTTTTGAACTATTTTGTTAATTCCTGTTTGTCAATTTACCGCAGTAGGGCAAACTTCTTTACTTGGTAAACGTCCTTAACTTTAAGTTTTTCTTCCACCGTTTTATTTTTATCGAACAAAATTGCTTAAAAGTACTCTGGATTTTTGTAAGTTCTACATCTGTGAAAAAAATTCTTTTTTTGTGTTTTTTTTAAATTTTGTACTACACTTCAGTATATTTCAAAATACATTAAAATATTAACCTCGGTTATATCGTTTATCAAATACCCTGATTTTGCTTTACTTTTTGCTTCTGCTTTTAGTTGGACGGAGGAAGATTTTAAAAAGCTAGAAGAATTGCATTCGCACAAGATGAAACCTGCTGCTATTTCTTTATTATTGAACAGAAAAGTTCGGTCTGTTGATGCTCAGTTAGACAAATTAAAAAAGAAAAAAGTTACCCCTCGTTCCCGCCCTTTTGCTTGGGATTTTTACGCGAAATCAAGACTTATAGGTAAATTATATTTTTCACCATTAAACTTAGTGCTGTTTGAAATGTGTGCTATTTTTTCGATATTTATTTTTATTTATTATTTTCCACTTAAATTTCAGCTCATGTAAAGAGTGTACTACGTAAGAAACTTTGTGAGGACGAAGAAAGTAAGGATTTTTTTGATCAGCTGTATGAGGAGACAGATGGTCGTACTATCGTGCATTTTGCAATGTCATCTTTACCTAAAAATCACAAAATTTTCAACTTTGATAATTTAGCAAAGTTACTGCGCTGTACACCTGAGGAAGTTTTATCTAGATGGTGAGTTTTATAATAGC